TCTTTAGACTTCGGAAGATGATTTAGAGGCCGCTGAAATAGAGTCTTCAGCTTACGATCAGGTAACAGACTGGGAAGAGAACACAAAAACAGTCAAATGGAGCGTGAAACCACCGAGACATGTTCAAGTCATATCATGCATTTAACACATGGACCATACCTACGACTATGTGCCGATATGGGTGCAAGCAAGAACAAAGATATACAGAGCATAATAAAGAAAACAAAATTCATTATGAGAGAGTAAGAGAGAGAGAGAGAACCTCGAAATAAAAAGTTCTTTTAGCACTTCAAAACCTGTCAATGCATGGTGCTTTCCTACTTTTGATGTAATCATCCTGCAGTTTAATGCCATTAGTAGAAAACTCAAGTTACATGGTCATAATGCTGTCCAGAATATCAACAGAATTTGCAGTAATTAAAGCTTATAATTAAACCCAGTTGGTAATATGATATATATTCAAATGCACACATAACATCCATTTTTAGCATTAAGGATTCTAGGCTAACTCCCATGAGCCTACAAGAATTGTAACTTCACTCACAATGTTTAAGTACTAATCCGACCTTAACAAATAAACCAAAGAACCATCACCAAAGTGCAAAGCTAAAGTGGACAGAAACCAACTAACTCATGATAGTTGACTCACAATTCAAATAACCACCATTTGCAATTGCATTTTTGCAGATTATAAAGCTAACTGTAAGATGCTAAGATCCTCTGATGTTATCTTTGTGGATTTCATTTGAGGCCCTTTAACCACCAAAGGAGGTCATGAAATTAAATATTTAATGCCTCTATACCTAATGACACTGGAAAGCTTCATACTTATTCAGCAGTTGTGTTTCCAAAGCTTCAATGTCACCAAACTTTTATAGACTCTGATGCAATTAGAAAGTCTATTCCACTATATTAACTTCAAGAAGGAGCTTACTAACCGCTACATTGGTTCTTTTCCTAAAAAATAAAATCTACATCATGTTAAACTCAGAACTTGATAATTGCACACCGAATATAAAAAATCCAACCTTTGTGTTTTCACTTCTAAAAACTTCAATTTGTAGTTTGCCAAGGATATTTTGACTAAAATCCAAAATCATGCAAACTGGTAAAAGAAATCGAACTACGTAATGAATATTAGCAACGACTGTGGTATAAACACTAAATGGAGGACATGGCCCATAGAAAAATTGGATTTTCCCCAACCATTACCAAAAAAGCAGACACCTTATCGGCGATGGTTCCAGACCTCTGCGTAGCAGTGAGCATCTTTATATCCCCACTCTGCCCCCTGGACGACTCATAGTTTTGTGCGTACAGTACCAACAAACTCTCTGCTAATTCTTTCTTCTTCTCCTCCACATTTTTAAACTCAATATAGCACATTCAAAATTAAAGTTGTAGACAAAAAAATTATCAAATTAAACTTCTAAAAATTAGAGTTAACAAATAAAGCAATTTGATTAGAAAATAAAAAATGGACTCACGGAACTGACCTTTGAAGTATGTTATCGGCCGAGAGAGAGAGAGTTGAAATGGCCGATGATGCAATCGATTCGACGCACACTGCAGATCCAAATAAAGAGAACACAATATAATCTAATCCCTGATATTGTTCAGTCCATATCTCTCCCTCCCCATAAATCACAAATTGATTTACACTTCGAAATTGATCATGCATTTTCTTGAAGCAAACTATCAAACATGTGGTGGGTGTTGATAATATGAAGGGGTGGAGGCAGAGTAGGAAGGGGAAAATGAAAGAGGTAAGAGAGAAGTGGTATGTTTAGAGTAAAACTTTACATGATCAAAAAATGCAGAGCTTACCTGAAACAGAGGATCTTCTATGTTTGCCTTTTTCATCTCCTTCTCTCTCTATGCCTTTCATCTGTCTCTATGTTTGTTGTAGCCGTCCTAATGCCCCTATTATGAGTAAGATTTGAGATTGGGAGAAGATTTGAGATGTATTCCATGTGATAGAGGCGTGATAGATTGAGAGAGAGAGGCGTGAGAGAGGTAGAGGCAGAAATGAGAAGGAGAGGCGTGAGAGAGATAGAGGCAGAAGTGAGAGGGAGAGGCGTGAGACAGAGGCCTGTGTTAGGCGGGAAAGAAAAATATAATACTCATTGTTGACCGTTAGTTCATAATTTTTGCGATAATCTGAATCGTCTTTTATATTGAGATTACATTATCCGTTGGATGTATTTATGTTTTGTTTCAAAACGATCTGGACATCTCTTTGTCTTTTGGATTCAAACTTCATTCTACTTTATTATATAGATTTGGAAGCAAGCAAAGGTTCAACAATATTATTCTACTTCAAACCAAACCAAACTTGACAACCCCCCACCTTTGCTTCCCAATTCTGGCAAGATTCATGCTTTTCCTTTACTTCTAAATTGAGCTAAAATAAGCTTTACAATGCAAATTGAGTTAAAAGTTCAAAATTTGAGTTTTCACCTTGATAAAACAACAATTGAGATTCTATGTAGTACTAGACAATAAAGCATTCTCTTTTAACAAACTCTCCTACAACTCAAGAATCGAAAAAGCTGGTTGAATTGAACTTGCTTTCCAAATTGGTGATTATCTTTTCTTGTGATGTCAAAAATAGGGGATTCTCACAAATTGACCGGTTACCAGTGACAACCAAAGCTATAGGGAGAAAATGAAAGATTGTCAGCTTCGAGGTTAATTTAAACTTTCATTGTCATGGATAATATACAATTTGGAGTATTATTTTTAGAATCTACTAATTCTAAGCAATATAGGCAATTGAAAATGCATACTTCAAAGAAAATAATCAAAGTTAAATTGGTATTCATACACAAAGCGATCAGGAACCAAAGATAAATATATGTATAACTCTTGTCTTGACAAAAAAATATCTATAATTATTCAAGGATTTTAGAGGTACAATTCATGTCGTACATGTTGTGCTGACACAGTTAATTTAATTAGTTTCAAGCCGAGTCAACTTCGTGTAATTGTGTGCCATAGGTATTTGATGGGCCCTAGGCAACTAATTTATCAGGAAGATAGCTACAATTGGGATGGACATTATCTTGGAGTAATGGTTATTCCAATGATTGCTCTACCACTTACGTTGACTCTTTCCAGATTCTTAGGCTTTGGATTGAACTAGGGTCATGAGCTAAACCTGATCTGTCTTTTGATAATTTGAGCTTAACCCATGAACTAGGCCCAGGTATAGTTGGATCTGGGTTCGTCCCCATGCGCCAAGCCCTAGTAAGGATAGGGATTGAGGGCATGTGTGAGTTCCTTTATTTGGGTAGACCAAGGTCTCTTGTTCCACACCATGGCTTCTTCAATTTTCCACTCTGTTGCATTTTTGAAGCTTACTTCTCCAATTGGTAGCGTCACTGTTAGAGACCCACTATGCTAGCAAAAAAATTCCTCTGTTGGCTCTCTTAAACCCCTCTTTCCTAATTAGAACTAGAGCAGTGTCAGTCTCTTTCTTCCTTCCACAAGCAGCAGAGAGAGGATGAAAAGAGGCCCAAACACTTCTGTCCAAGGAAATGGAGATGCTTTGGTGAGTGGCACCTTAGAAAAAGAGAGAAGCTTGGGTGGAGCCATGGATATGAACCTGGGCGACACCAGAAAAGGCGTGAGGCTAGACGGCGCCATGGGAGACACCATGGAGGACCCAAACAAACTGATGATGTCTTCGGTGTCTAAAACTTCTCTTTTTCATTTAGAATCCATAGGTGATCCCGTGGTTGATAGAGAAATGGTGGAGACTCTCTATGCCACTAGGATGAGACTTCCCCTCCTCCTAAGAAGGCGAGATCTGATGCCCCCAGTGTTTCCCAGTTGAGGTTTGATGGGCCTACCATTTGTTGGAAATTAGGGTCTGATGGTGCCCTCGCTCCCTCTCAGCATGTGAACCCTTTGGGTCCTAGGATTGGTCCTAAGACTACTTTAGAGATTGAGACACTTGTGCAAACTTCCACTAAGACTAGAGTTCCACACAATTGTCCTATTTCCAGCAGTAGCCTGGTGTCCATGTTGTAGGACATGAATTTGGATGAGGAGCGACTTTGGAGGTTTTTGAAACTCTCAGATATTAGAGAGGTCGACTCTTGGGGTCCTAAGGGTATCATCGATACCACGATAGAGGGCTTTGCTATAGTACCCTTCTGTTCTATGCACCCTTGTATTCTATATGTTTTGGTCATATTGACATTCTTGTTTTTGGATATTCGCAGATGGTTGCAACTTTTCCGTGCCTTTGAGGACGTTCAAACTCGATGAGGTATCGAGAGCTTTGGCAAAAGAGAGATGAACATGGCAGATGTTAAGGAGCAGTTGAGATTGGCTCATAAGAGAGCAACACTTTTTAATGCCGAGTTTTTGGGAGATTGAGGCTATTTGCATAAGAGTAGAGATAGAGTTAGACCGAGCTTACGGAGACTCGAGAGAGAGCCGCTAAGCTGGGGACTAAGACTACTTATGTAAGAGGCACAGTGAGGCTGAACTTTTGGCGACTCATGAGAAAGCCGCTATGCTATAAATTGAAGCTATTTGTGTGAAAACAAAGGCAAAGTGAGGCCGAGCTTCTAGCAACTCACGAGAGAGCCGCTAAGTTGGAGACTGAGGCTATTTGCATGAGAGTAGAAACATAATGAGACTGAGCTTTTGGTGACTCGCGAGAAAGTCACTAAGCTGGAGATTGGCTGCTTGCATGAGAGTAGAGGTATAGTTAGGTTGAGATTTTGGCGACTTACGAAAGAGCCGCTAAGTTGGGGATTGAGATTACTTCCGTGAGAGCAGAGGCAGAGATAGGCCAAACTTTTGACGAATCGGGAGGCTCTCTTCTAAGAGATGTATAGGAAGAGGGAAATGACAATTAGGGTAGCCAGAGGGCGTTGGTAGGATAAAGCTGAGGTTGCTGATGCACTAGGAAAGGTTATGTCGGGCACTAAGGGCACTGTTGGACGAGTAGGGCATGCGATTCAAGCAGTGTGCTCTAGTGGGCGATGAGGTAAGCACCAAGGCAAGGGTGCACATGCGAGTAAGAAGGTAAGTGTGCATGCGCTACAGGACTGGGCGTCGCTGGGACTATTCACTTTTCTATTTTTCTCCATTACTTCCCTTCTTCTTGGATTGGGCAAAACAACCTTCTTCTCCACATCCTCATAGATTATGGGGAGAGTCTTACAAAGAAAGTGGAAATGGAGATTAGAGGGAGCTTGATGAAGATGAGCGAAATCATAGGCGATGCCATAGTGGGCCTACAAAATAAATCAGGTAGCGACATGGCAAGATCAACTAGCGATGCCTTGGCGAGGCTTGAAGCCCTTGGCGACACCATGCCCCAAGGTGTCGCAAATAGAAGAGGGAAGACAAGCGACGCTAGCAGCAAATTGGGCGACACCAATGGAGTGACGTAGTTGGTCTTCGCGAAGAGGTGGGCAACGCCAATGGAGGTGGTGGCAACGCTACAAGAGGTGGGTTGGGCGCCCTTGGTGCGATGGTGGCAATGCCATGGGCGATAATGAGCTGGGCGTCAGTGCAAGACGGCTGGGCATAGACGTATGCTAGTTGGGCGCTTGGGAGCTAGCGCCGGGCACCGAGGCACAGGGGCAATGTGTTTGGGCACCGGGGCAAGGGCACTGGGCACTAGGGAGTGGGCGCTAGTTAGAGTATTAGAAAACCATAAAGAAATGACAAAATTTTAAAAACCATAACTTTGCACTCAGTTGTTTGTTTGAGCTGATTTTTATTTTGAATCCGAGTATTTTTTTTCGAGATCTATGACAATCAAATTACCCACGACAGTTTGGACACCAAAGTTCCCAAAAAAACTTGTTTTTCATTGATGTGAATTTTAACACAAATCAATGACTAAGTAAAATTTGCACGTGTCTACTTTTTGTATTCCCCTCTTCGTGAGGATTCAGCTCGCCTTGCTTTGGCGACATCCTCGACATTCATGGTCTCCAATAGTTGTTGGGATTCAGGGACAAGGTTCATCGGTGGTGGCAAGACCTCATCGGGATGTGGGGGGTCATCTTCCGCTTGGTGGTTCATAAATCTAGTTGTGATTGCCATTGGAGGTCGAAAGACTGTAGGATGAGAATCAAATCGATTCACAAAGACAGTGTCAAACTGATGCTACACAAAAGTGGATTTCAGCACAATCATATCAATCGAGTGTGTAGTGTAAGCAATTAATAATAAGTGACAAAAATTGGGTGATTGGGTTTGGGACCTAACCATTGAAGGTGACAACGGTGTCTAGAGAACTCTATTAATAAGAGAGTAAAAGATAGTAATAGATAGAGAGCAAGAGTACGCTCAATGTGAGGTGTATGTGATTTGCCCCATGTGTAAAGGGTTTAAAATTTATAAGTAAAGAGACTTGGTTGTGAAAGTAAAGTAAAAGTTAAGCTACTAATTTATCGGGGTGCATAGCTACAATTAGGAATGAGTACTATCTTGGAGTAATGACTATCTCGATAATTGTTCTTCCATATAGATTAACTGTGAAGCCCATTAAATATTGAAACTTTATATTAATCTAATAATTACAATAAAATTACAATAGTAGGTAAGTAGATTAAGTCAAATTTTTAGATCTATATAGCATGATTCTATATTTATACATATTGTGCATGTTAATGCACTTGGTTGTGGTTGTATATCGTGTACATATTCTGAGTAGAAAAAATACAAGAAAAATATTATATCAAGTGATACCTGACCTAGCTCTTGGTCTTCCAAGGGTCAAGTGATTTAATACCACCACTACGCCCACCAAAATAGAATTAACTAAGTTTAACTATAAGTTGTATAAAACTGTAAGACTTCATTGAGGATTTTGTGGATCTGTGTTCTGCTCTATTAAACAGGATTATTGATGATACTAAAAATTAGTTAAGGTTAAATTCAGACCTTTAAATTTACATAAATAAATTCGGAGCTATTAGCTCATAATTTTTAGCTCGGGGTGCATAGGTCGGGTATCTTCAATGACGTTACCCTCATGTACATGACGATAGCGACTGCTGCCACATTCTAGAAGGTCATATCATACCTAAGGAATGTAACCCTCAACGGCCAAATATTCTAACAAGTGGGTCACAACAGCCTCAACGGAATCACGTTGATTACGCAAGGATGACATTAGTTACTAGAGGATCGCAAAGATCACGCAAGACAATTGTACACTATAAATAGGGATCAAATCCCTCACATTTGTAATCAAACAAGCATATGTGCTTTTACTATGTGTAATTCTGTAATTTTCTTCTCTCAAGTAATATAAAAATTCTCAGAGGTAAGAAATTTCATTAGACTGGACTAGTCTAGCTTCCGAGCTTGTGAACCACTGTAAATCCTCTGTCTATTGATCTTTATTCATCGTTATCTCCCTAAATTGATTGTTCAACCCCCAAGAGCCTAGAAGCTCTAACCAGATATCCCAGTAATCCCCTTTAAACATCCACAAAAAAGATCCCCAAATTCATATTTGCTCAGCGGCATAGAACACAACATCAATTATATAACATCTTAGCGTTCGACCCTATGCGATGCATAGACCATCCCTTTCTCCTCCCAACTCTCTTCTTAACTATTTACTATCTACCCCCCCCCCCCCCAATTATTTTATATGTTATTAAAAATATTGTAAGAATTATTGGATTATAAAATTTGATGTTTAAAATTTTTTAACAAGTGATGATTAAAGAGATTTCATGAGTAGTTATTCAAGGTAGTTATTGGAGGGATTTGATAGAATATGATTGAAAGATGAAAATTTTAATAATTCAAAATTCTTTAAAATTAGAAAAGTATGAGAGAAGACTTCTCAAGCCTTCCCCCTAAGAAATTGATTGTTTTATATATATAATATAAAATTAGCAATCGCTCTGTGCAATACACGAAATTTGTAATATCTCTTCATCACCACCATCATGCCTACTCTGACCCCCATCCCCTTATCCTTACTCTATCCTAATTTTTGAAAAAATTACTCATTAATATGCTAATTAATATTTTATAAAAATTTAAATGTGAGGTAGTTAATAAAGATGAGAAGAAATTTAAATGTAAAATAGTTATCAAAAAATTAAAAGTAGTTACATAAACCACATGTTGGAATTCAAATGGATGGGGTCAATTAAATAACTCAAAATTAGGAAAAAATAGAATTTAAGAAGAAATTTAATTGATTATTTTAGTATATAGTATTAGAAACTAAGAAGCATTCAAATTGGAAGTATTCAACCCACTTGCACTAGAATATGGTATCAAAAAATAAACCTTTTTGATACCATACCTTTTTTAATACAATTACAATATCACATGTGAAATAATTGTTATTTTATATTATATTTCTATGATTAATGACTGTACATAATTTAAAATCAAAATCTATGACTTAAATTCAGTTTTCAGTATGACACGGACAAGTAAATTTTCACTACCATCATTATCCGCGCTAGTGACCCTTTTCTTTGGACCTGAAATATATATGCTTGTTTTTTGTCGTATAGTGTCTAGAGCTAGTTTTGTTTTCAGAATACATTTGTCCGTTATCTACCTGGATGTGCCAGTGTTGTATTCAGGGAGCTTCAGAGTAACAGAATGGTTTTTGCCCATATTTTTCTAACATTTAATTGCCAACAGGTCAATGTATAACCGAGGCCTTCATACATTAAACTCCTCGAAACTAATCAGCAGCTTGTGTAGTTGATAAATCTCAGGTGTTAAGCTTAATTGCTATAACAGTTAAGCTCATATAAAACAGTCACAATTGCGCATGATCACACCATGGCTGCAGGGTTCTTAAACAACCACCACAAATACACACCCTCACCCCACCACCATGGAAAAAAGACAGTGCCAGAAAATACCACTTGCTAGGACCAAATTTAATGTTCCTGCTGATAGTTCATGCACCTCTTATGGTAAAGCTTCTGCTCTTTATTCATCTGGCTAGTTGCCTGCTTCTAATATGGTAGGGCATTCGTGAGAAATGAACTTCTTATAATGACGCTCATCAGTCCATTCCTCAACTAAGAAGGATGACCGTGATTTTGGCAATTGTCAGAGAAAGCTGCTAAATAACCTTGGCATCACAAATTTGAGCCACTGTCAAAATATGCACTCTAATTTGAAATCAAAGGGAGAACAAGGTTCGATTTCCAATATTAGCATAAAATGTAAATCAAAATATGCCCAGAGAGAGAGAAATAGAGGCTCAGCCAGTTGTCTCTTCGATAGGCGATTTTCCCCCCAGTAGAAGGGCCTTTAAGATGGCATCGCTCATACCCTCAGCAAGTACAAACAGATGCCCGGCACCAGGTAATTCGTGGTAGTGTATCCATGGAAGCTTTGCAGCAATGTAGCGTTGCAGTGGAACAGAAACAAGGCCATCTTCATCGCCTTGCCACAAATGGACAGAGCCTTCTTCACCATCAGTGAAAGGATTCTTAAGATCCATAGGATCAAATTCCCAACGCCCAAATCCAACCATCAGGTCGCGATGTAAGGACTCAAATTCTCCTTGTTGTGTCACATATGCCTGGTTATCAAAACAACGGGCAAATTCTGAATCATTCTCAATGGACACTCAACTGACATGTTTTGAACAATTTTCACACACAAATTTCCTTAACCATGATTTATCTAAACTGTAAACTTGGAGTAATCTATTACATGTCACATAATCACTATTAATGGGATATTGAACTCACAGCTTGCATGGATGTTGAACATTTTTAACTCTAAATTATTGATGATACGGTTTCCTTATGCAGTAGGTTCTCGATCATGACCACATGTGTATGCACAAACTAATGTATGAGATTTATTGGTATTTCAAACTCATTCTTCATGAACCAAAAAAAAAACTATTACCTTGTCACTTTGTTCCCCCCTAAGATTGGATATGATTTGTAAATCTTGGCGAGATAACTTAGGCCTTTGGCCAATAACACTCGAGGCAGGAAACCATTTCTGAGTGTTCCACCAATAGGTGAGCCAAGGGGCATAGTGCGCGACCCGCAAAGCCCACTGGTCTTGTGGAAACTGCTCATAGTAGACTTCCCCATAAAAATTTGCAGGAAACCCAGGCCACCAGTAATTGGTAACCGGAGCAATTAATGTTGCTCCTGCCAGCCTGTTAGTATAAAAAAAATTAAACTTCATAATTGAAACAATAAAGAACTGAATAGAAACATTACGAGGAAATTCAGTAAAAAAACCTTAATCTTTGCTGAAGTGGTTAAAAACGTACAATCGAGATTCTAGGAAAGTATGACAACAAATACTGCATTATTAATTAACTCAAAATGATCAAAAGACTTGACCCATCTGTTATTCAGAAAGATAAAAGACCTTAATGAATCATCCGCGTTGCAAGAAGTTCCAGGACTAGATGTGATTTCCAGAGTATGTCGAATAACAGCCAAACATAAACAGTATTTTTCTTTACAACTGTTGCATTTTCCTCTTTGTAATTTTTGATATGTTCATCCAGAGTATTACCATAAGAAATTCCTGAATTTTGATGTGATTCCTCTGACACAAATAATTTCTGAGCATCTAACTTTTCAACATGGTTGAGTAGAAAATAAATTTGGCTATTTATTACCTGTGAGGGATGTACTTAAGGCATCCCCAAACCTGCAGTCCTCCCATGGAAAACCCAATTACATAAAATTTGGATCCAAGTTTTAACTGATCAGCAAGCTCTTCTATATCCAGAGCTATACTTTTTAAGGTTCGTTTTGGATCCGGGTCACTTTCTCCATAACCTGGTCTATCAAATGACACAAAGTAGACCCCTAGTTCGTCAGTCATCACCTGAAAACAACACAATGAAAGTCATTTGAAGAAAACTCCCGCAAAAACCACCCAGGGAAGCAGAAACATTGTCTGTTTCATAACCAATAAAAAAAATACCGATGGTACAGTTGCTAAGTCATGTCTGCTACAGCCAAAGCCATGAACAAAGATGATCTTGTATTTGGCCATTTCTTTGGGAACACCATGCTCCTTATAGGCCAAATATCGTCCATCCCTAAGCTTTATTCTGGGTGCTGTAATGGGTGGACCACCTTCGGAGCCACATATCTTGGGAGGTGGGGGACGGACAGATTGATATGCCCATGCTAGAAACCCAATAAAAAAGACCAGTATGATTTTCTTAAACATCCCTGACAAAAAGATGTGAAAATTTGAGAAGGAAATGAACATACAGCTTAACAAACCAAAGCTTGGAGATCATAATGTTATCCATATCATCTGGTATAATTTAGAGAGAATATAAAAGAAAAGGAACATCAACAATTCACTTCATATTGCCATTCAATAAAAAATTCTCTCAAATGTTCTCATTGGTGGTGACAGCGACATCCTCGGAAAACCTTTCCAATTCCAGCCATGATGTGGGAACGTCAGATGGAAAAGGTTCTACAATGATTACTGTCCATACTTATCACTGCCGTCCAATCAGGAACTGGGGAGTAAGTAAAGTGAGGGCAAGAGGAAAAAAAAGGCTGTGAGGGTCACTCACTAATACAGGGTGTTTGTTCTACCAAGGAGATAAATGGAGGGACGGAGGGGATCTGGATTCCCCTACTAAAGTAGCAAAAAAGGGGGATTTAACAGGTATCGTCACAGTAGTAGAGAAAGTCTAAAGCTAGCCCACAGAAAAAAGTAATTGAAGGAGAAAATGTGAAGTAGGTTTTCTCTTTTATCACATTTCTCTTATTGTTGCGGTATTATGTATTTAGCATGAAAAAACATTGCCTTCCCACATAAATAAGGATAAGAAAAGTAGAAAACTATAGCACAACCCAATCATTTCGTTCTCATAATTCTATTTGTATCATAGCTTCAGATATTGGAGAAATACTAATAACAAACAAACTCTACTCATTGCTATAAAAAAAAATAAAAATCAACAATGATATGGCTTTGTGGAATAAATAACAACTTTCTCCACACAGACACAAAAAAGAAAAAAAACCCATTTGAAATGCAAAGTGACACAAATTGATTGATTTCATTTCAAGGAGAGCCAATAAAAAACTTAAATTTTCAATTAACTCTGCCCTAAAATCGAAGTATACAGAATATTAGGCAAAAGAGAAAAAGAAGCCAACATGTGGAATCCAGAAAGTACAAGAAATGAGATGCAATAACAATAAATTAACAAAGAGATCAATCCAACCCAGTTATTGCGAAACAAAATAAAACCCAGTATAAATGGCAAGAGAGACAACCTGGAAGTAGTTGGAAGGACTTGTCTTGTTTGACCTTTTGTAGTAGATTGATGCTAAGCTGAAGCAGCTGATATCTTCTTGAGGAATCAGTTCATTTCTCTCAACGTTCAGCAAAAAATATTAAAACCCCAAAAGTCAAGATGTTTAAGAATTTCCAAATATATAGCTCAACGAAACCTCACCAGAAATTCATCCCATAACCAGCGAAGGTTGAAGATAACGGATAGGTGGTGTGCGTGCGTGCGTGGGGAGAGAGAGAGAGAGAGAGATCACTGTCACCCGCATTAATCGAAATCTGAGTGATCAAGAAAACAACGGAGAAAATTAAGAGAGAGATCACTGTCACCCACAGCATTGGAAATCTGGGTGATCAAGAAAATAATGGAGAAAATTAAACTCTCTCTTGATGATTTTCCTAGCATTTTTATATGAGTAACATTATAATTATCAAATTATTTTATTAAATTTTTATTTTAAATGATGTGACACAATTTTTTTTAATCAGATAAATAAATTTCATTAATATACAATGATAGAAATTGTGTCATATCATTCGATATGAAAATTTTGATAAATTTTTTAAATAAGTACAGAGTTTTCTTTTTTATATTTAATTTCAACCAAAACATATTAGTTTGTATTTTTTTTTTTTTTGTGTTCTGCAGTACCCAGCTTTTTCATTATACCACTCCTCAATATTTAAATTCCTAACTTACGCCTTGCACTTGTTGTGTGGTTAAATTACTACTCTTCTCTCACATAAACAATCTATATCTCCAGCTTAGCAGCTCGCTCGCGAGTCACCAAAAAATTTGGTCTTTTTCTACTCTGCTCTCAAGCAAACAGTCTATGTCTTCAACATAACAGTTCTAACGAGAGTTGTCACAAACTCAACCAAACTCAGCATGTGCTTATACACAAACAAACCTCATTCTCTAGAAGCTCGACCTCGAAAGCTTTTACTTTCTAACGAGCCAACCTCAACTGTAGCTTGGTGCCCAAGTCTCTCTTCCACTAATGCTCTCGACACCTCGTTGAGTTTGAGCGTCCTCAAAAGTATGAAAAAAGTCACAGCCATCTACAAATTTTCAGAGTCAGAATGTCAACATGACCAAGTATACAGAAGAGAGGGTTCCATCTAACAACGAGGTACCATAGCAAAGTCTTCTATCTCTGTATCGATAATACCCTAAAGACCTCGAGAGCTGACATCCAAGGGTGTCACAAACCTCCAAAGTTTCTTCTTAGCCAAAGTTCATATCCGACAGTAGGGACATCAGACCATTGCTAAAAGCAGGATAATTATGTGAAGTGTTGGGGGCATCACCCCGTCTTTCGAGAAATAACAGGACCGTCAGACCTTAGCTGGAAAGCACGAGGGGCATCAGATCTCATCCCTTCTAGGAGGAGGGGAAATCACCATCCTAGTGACGTAAAGAGCTTTCGTCATTAATCCATCAACCACAAGATCACTTGTGAAAGATAGAATTTTCATAAACCAAAGATATTATCAATTTGCCCGTCGCACCGACCAGTCTTATGCCTTCCCTGGTGTTACCCACGTTCATACCCACGGCGCTACTAACCAAAGCATCTCGATCTCTACGCGTTGAAGCATCCATTCTTCTTTTCATCCTCTATCCAACAATGACATTACCAAATAGAAAAATAAGCTTAAAAAATGCCATGAATAGAAAGTTGAAAAAGCTCACTCATGCCCTCAACCCCCAATCACTGCTAGAGCTTGGAGTATGAGGGGCAAATGACGAGTCTAGATTTAATTGGGTCAGGCCCAATTAATGAGCTAGGCCTAAATTAGATACAAGGCGAGTCAAGCCAATTCATAGATTTAGCCCAATCCAGAGTTCAAGGTGTCCATAAGGATTAAAGCACGTGAGAAGAAATTATCGGGATATTCATTCTCTAAGATCAAAGCAACGTTTAATTGGACTTACCTTTTGAAGTTCCCTGAAGATCTAGTACATTTACCCTCATGTCATCGACTTAACTAAGACTATATGTCTATGAATTATAAGCTCTCTCTATATGAGAGGAGATCTCTCTACACACTCCATACATAACTTTTATCTCTCTAACTATTGTATCCCTCTTGGAGCTAATCATTGTTCTCTCTGTCTCGTTCACCTTACTTAATCAATAAAAATTCTTTCGGCCACCGTTGCCATTTTTGAGAATGGAATAGATCACCTGAACTGAATTACTTTATATTTACGTGTTGACCCGATATTTATATTATTATCATTGATTGTTATATTAAATGTCTCTTAATTACACTTTATCACACACTCAACTGTTGATCTTGCACAAGCCTGTTTTATATATTATCACTAAAGTACTTTTATTTGTAGTATATAATAGATAGGTGGTCTAAATGTTACTGTAGCCGGCCTAATTCCATGATACCATTTTGATTCTTTATTGGTCCTATTCTTTGGTTCAATTTATTCACGGAGTTTGTCGAGTTTGCACATGTAATAATCCATACCAATCTGTAAATTATAGGGTTGTATATGCAAGTGGGGTTGATTCGTACATGAGAAAAAGCAAGACCATCAAGAAGGATATGGACAAGAGGGAGGGGGCTGGCTAGGGGACAAAAAAAGGAAGAAAATAAATGGTCATGCCTGGGAATTTACGGGTAATTGGGAGGAAAATGACGAGGCAACCCTTTTTTTTACTTTTTTTTTTGTAATGGCGTTTGGAGGTGGATTTGTAGTAAGAAAAAAGTGCATGGTACCCAAAAGCAATTTTGGCTTAAAAGACCAAAAATCACTTTCCACAAAAAACTTACTTAAAGCACAAAACCCATAATATGAATTTTGTACCATTGGTTTAAAATAGATGAATATTTAATCAATCTTAACTGTTATTATACTTTTATAAGTTAATAATTCAACTTTCTAAATGTAATATTAAATAAATGTCTCTACTTGGAAAATATAATATCTAATAAAGGTTTTTCATGAGTTTTAAGGTTCATTAACATATTAAAATAAAAAACATAGACCAACGCTAGACGAACCACAAAATAGGACAAAAAAAAGAACTAAATAATATTGCATCGACATGATAAATAAAAATTGAATCTTGCATCCATGTCTCAAAGTTTGTTGTAAGAGAAATGAATTTGCAAGCTAGAATTCCTTTGAACAATCCTAAGTAATATTTTTCCCCTCTTCATGTGTCTTATTTTGCTACTTTCAAAGCTGATTTTCAGAGAGAGAGAGAGAACCAATCAGTCAGTTATCTCTTCAACAGGCTCCTTCTCCCCTAATAGAAGTGCCTTTAAAATAGCCTCGCTCACCCCATCAGCAATAGAAAACAGATGTCCGGCACCTGGTAATTCATGGTAGTGTATCCATGGAAGCTTTTCAGCAATGTGGCGCTGCAGGGTAACAGGCACAAGGCCATCTTCATCGCCTTGCCACAAATGGACAGAGCCTTCATTATCAAGGAAAGGATTCTTAAGATCCATAGGATCGAATTCCCAACTCCCAAATCCAACCATCAGGTCGCGGTGTAAGGACTCAAATTCTCCTCGTTGTGTCACGTGTGCCTGGTTACCAAAACAAACCGCAGATTCTGAATCATATGCAATTTACAGATGTTGGGACAGTTTTGAACTTTCTCATTTCGATATGTCCTATACTCTAAACTTAGAGCAATCTATTACATGCCATATAGTTCTTGATCATGACCACACATTTGCACACACACAACTAATGCATGAGATTTATGGGTATTTCTTACTCATTCTTCATAAACCAAAATAGAAAAAGATATTACCCTGTCATGTTTTATCCCCCTAAGCTTGGATATAAGTTCTAAATCTTGGCGAGAAAACTTAGGCTTTTGCGCAATGGCGCTCGATGCAGGAAACCATTTCTGAGTGTTCCACCAGTAGGTGAGCCAAGGGGTGTAGTGAGCGACCCGTAAAGCCCACTGGTCTTGTGGATATTGCTGATAGTAGGCTTCTGCAGATATTTTTGCAGGAAACCTAGGCCACCAGTAGTTGATAACCGGAGCAATTAATGTTGCTCCTGAAAGCCTGTCAGCATCCAAAAATTAAAGTTCATAATTGAAACATTAAAGGACTGAATAGAAATATTAGGACTTAGAAGGAAATTCAGTAAAAAGACCTGAATCTTATCTGTATCTGAAGTGGTTAAAGAAATTACATTCCAGATCTTAAGGAAGGATGATAACAAATGGTATGTTGAATGGCTATCCAATATTGTTCTTGTAATTCAATTAAACTCACAATGCAACTGAAATGATCAATTGACTTAATCCACCTTTATGCTATTCAGAAAGATTAAATTTCTTAATGAGTAATCCAGGTAGCAAGAAGTTCCAAGATTATATGTAATTTCCAGGGTACATTGAATAACAGCAAAACATGAACCTTATTTTTCTTCACAAGCATTGCTTTTTCCTCTCAGTGAATTTTTATCTATTTATTATTGTTACATGTTAGTTGCAGTATTTCCCCAAGTAATTGCTGAACTTTGATAATTCAAGATGAATGATTTCCAAGTACTCAGATTTTCAATATGGTCAGTAGAAAATGAATATCTATTTCTTACCTATGAGGAATGTACTTAAGGCATCCCCAAACCTGCTGTCCTCCCATGGATGATCCAATTACATAAAATTTGGATCCAAGTTCTAACTGATCAGCAAGCTCTTCTATATCCATAGCTACACTTTTTAAGGTCCGTTTTGGATCTGGGTCACTTTCTCCATAACCTGGTCTATCAAAAGACACAAAGTAGACCCCTTGTCCTTCAGCCATCCCCTGGAAAAAAACAAACTGAATGTCATTTGGGCAGGAAAAGGTATGGTATTATCCACATAAGAGAAAATGTGTCAATTTAATAACCAATTCTACTGATGTTGCAAATGCCAAGTCATGTCTGCTACAGCCAAAGCCATGAACAAAGATGATCTTGTATTTGGCCTTTTCTTTGGGGACGCCATGCTCCTTGTAGGCCAAACGTCGTCCATCCCTAAGCTTTATTCGTGTTGATGTAACGGGTGGACCGGCTGGTGAGCCACATATCCTGGGAGGTGGGGAACGGGCAGCTTGATACACCCATGCTAGAAACCCGATTAATAGGACCAATATGATTTTCTTAAACATCCCTGACAAAAATGTGCAAAACCCTGAAGAAAACAGACTTTCTTTTTTTTTTTTTTTTGGGGGGGGGGGGGGGGGGGGGGGGGGAAGTTAGTCATTGCATTCCCATATGAAAGTACAAACATACAGCATCCCTCAACCACTACATTCTGATCACTTATATTGTTTTTGTGGGAAAAATAACAACTTCCTCCACGCACAAAAAAAAAAAAAAAAGAACAGAGTGACACCACTTGATTGATTTCATCCAAGGAGAGCCAATAAGACCAATGATTTTCTGATTGGTGCTTCCCTAAAATCAAAGTATAACTTCCTGATATTAATCCCTCATACCTTTCTGGTAAGGAAAAGTAGAGAGAATATTAGGCAAAAGAAAAAGGGAAGTCAATATGCGTGGATAAAGAAAGTACAACAAATTAGATGCAATCATACAGAACAAGGAAGAGATCAAATTAACCCAGTACAAATGGCAAGAGAGAAAACCTGAGAGAAGTTGTAAAGACTTGTCTTGATTGAACTCTGTATAACTGAAGCTAAGCCGAAGCGCCTAATATCTTCTTGAGGAATCAATTAATTTCTCACAATGTTTGGCAAAAAAGTCAAAACCCCAATAGCAAAAATATCCAAAAAATTTCCAAATTTACTGCTCAATAAACGGTGTTCAAATATCCAATTATCCGCAAATTCCGACTCTATCTTACCCAATCCAACTTTATTGATCTGCTACCTGAAAAGATCGAGTAGCCAACAAAAGATTTTCTAATATTTCATAAAAATTGGGTAGGAATGGCAGAATATTTACAAAATTTCTATATTCTTACCCTCCTAACCGACCCGCATATATATATATATATATATATATATATTAGAAAATTAAAATCTAGAAATCTAATGTTTATAGCTTTCTAATATGTGATATATTAATTTTTATGACTTTCTTGTTGTATTTTATTATAATTGTTTCTATATTATCGAATTTATTGTGTTTTATTTAGTATTATTAGTTTATTGTGTTAGTTAATTGGTATATATTACTTAATTATATTATTAAAATGATTCAAAAATTAATAACTAAAAAATATGGGTTCACTTGACTTCCTATCCGATTGTTTTGGACAAAATTCAGGTAAGAATAATACACTTAATCAGGTAGGTAAGTTAAGAAAAAATTTCTTTTGCAAGTATCAGATATGAAAATGGAATACCATAATTCTTATTGGTAGAGTAGAGTGAACGCTTCTAAATAAGCCCTTAATGTAGGGGTGTCCATGGGCCGGGCTAGGCCCTCAAAATTTTTTTTAGGTTGGGTCTAGATAACGTAGGCTTAAGACCTTATCAAGGTGAGTTATCAGGCACGTTAGGTCGGGTTTCAGGTAGGGGTAGGCTACCCATACTCCAACCCGCGAGCCTATTGAGTAAGCCTGCAGATGGGCTTGCTGGGGGGGGGGGGGGTCAAACAGGCTTACCATAGACTTTTTTATATACAACTTCGTTTAAAAATAAATGAATATTTTTATAACTTAATATTTAACAAAAACTTTTTCACACACAATTTCTCAATATATAAAAGGAAATCTCTTGGAGTCTTCGTTGGAGGTCGCATCTAAAACTGAATTTCTTGAAAATGAAAAGAAATAGATCATCAAGTTTCCCTCTTTAAATCACATAGTGTGTACATAATTTTTGTTAAGTTTTAATAGATCACTCCATTGAATATATTTTGTATAGACTGTGTGAGATGAGGTATAGAAAGAAACATTAAAAGTAAAGATTAAGATAAGTTTAGTATAACGGGGATAGGTATAGAATGGAGTGTACTTAATTATTAGTGGGATGGGTATAAATGACGTGAACCTAGTAATTTTATGATTTATAGTTTAATGGAGTGGAAACGGAAATTTGTGGGGTGGAAATAGCTCTACCCTTTCTTATATTAGAACTATTTCTATTTAATTTTAGGGTTATATATATATATATATATAGATATAGATATATATAAATTTTAAATATTTCCCTAATTTATTCCTATGGCCACATCCCAACACCTATGCGTAGTGGGGAGGGGATGAACTTTTATTATATATTTCCATAAGCCATTCTATCTTAGATTGTAAAGAGATTGTTTTTGCAATTTGAACTCTTGGTGCCTAGGTTACAATGGAGCAAATTTACCATTGTGCTATGGCCTCCTTATTCTCTAGAGTTTTATATGTATACATACTTTTTCCTTGGACCACCCTTGGGTTTCTATCTGTTTGTGCCATTGTGGTATTTATAGAGATGAGCAGAAGAAAGCTGTCTTCTCTGAAGCTTTATCTCTTCCGTTAAGGGACAGAACAGAATTCTGCATGAATGGAGCCTAATATTACGATAATTATGCTGCTTTAACGGAGTGTTTGTATAATAATTTGTTGATGGTTGAGCTGCTCTGAAGTTGAGTTGCTGAGTCTTTCTTTACTATAGTTGGTATTTCCCCAGTTGGTATCCTGTTGGCAAGACAAGTAGATCCTGTTTGTTATATGTTCCAATTTTTGAACTCTCAATTCAGGTTGATATATTACCCTCATCACTTCACCTTGTGATGCACAAGATCAAATTTTTTTCTCCTTTCAAGTTTTTCTCTTGTTCTGTAAAAGCTTTGTTTTCTACTCACTGAAAACACTTATTTACCCAACAAAAAAATTAAAAAAAAAAGATGAATAGTGGGCTGGCGTGCTGGTACAACTAATGTTATCAGAACCGAATCGGTCATCGAACCAGCAAGGAGATCAGGTCAATGGTTCACTGGTTCAACCGTTGGGTCAACTGGTCGTATAATAAAAAAATAAAAATATATATATAATAATTATAAAACATAATAATTTAGTTAAAAAATATAAAACATGTCTAAAATACATATAATTTGTCATAGAATTAATGAAGGTAAGTAAAAAAAAAACACATGTACCAAATATCAAAATTCAACTTTAAAGGTCCAAACTACTTACCAGTCAAGGGCATTAATATAATATTTGTTAAAAGCCTACCTGTTACCTGATATTTTCTATGGACTGGGACCCAACACGAAATCCTTAGTCCTGTGGGCAATTCCATTCTCACCACCAAAGGTCATGCCTTGAGCAACTACAGAACCAAGCCCTCCACTTGCAGATCCCCTTTGTACAGGCGGTGGTGGAGGAGCAGAAGCAGCTGGCTGTGGAGGCTTACGTGGTGGAGAGCGGGTAGTAGGACGAGGAACTTACCTCATTGATCTTCCTCTGGAGCTTCGGCGACGACCCAACAAAAATCGAGTTGAAGATGAATAGGCAGCGATTTGAAGAAGAGAGCTTGTGATCGAGTTGAAGAAGAGAGGTTGGGATTTAGGGCAAAAATGCCCAAAACATAATTTTTTTTTTAAACAATTGCAATCCAACCGTCTGGTTTGAACAAACCGTCTAGTTCACCGGTTTTAGCAAAAATCAGCCGGTTTAACGGTTAACAGCTGGTTCACTTGCCTAGGCGGTCCAACTCAAAAACTGGACCAATCTATATCCCGGTTCACGATCTAGCCGGTCAAATCGCCCTGGTCCGGTCCGGTTCTGATAACACTAGGTACAACTAGAACGCTTCACATGTTTTATTTTCGCACTAATGCTATTGGGACATAATTTGAGAATATAATAAGTTGTCACCAATAAAATGTTTTAAATGATAAGTCTCATTGTAACATTAAATGAATTTCACTCTCATTCCATTGGTGACAAATTATGTCCTTAAATTATATCTCAATAACATTGCACTTTATTTCTGTGTTTGTATTATTTTTTTTTTGTGGTGCAAAATTAGTTTCTTAGTGAGAATTCTTTCAAACTAATAATGATTGATTTAAGTCTGGACCCTTTTAGAGCCCAAGACTCTAGGCTTGCATAAAATGGCTCAAGTAGCTCACCCAAACGAACTCTCCTAAACACGAACTGGGCCACATGTCGGTTGCATGGAAGCTTAGAGTAACAAGCCCAACACGATAACAAACTTCAAACTCAGGAGCTTGGTACAAGGTCAGTCTACAAAAACTATAGTGTGACATGTGAAGAGGGGACAAGAGAATATTATCTAACGACTTTGCTGAACAAAAATCCGCAGGTAGTGCAGACAGATCAAGTACTATAGTTGGCGAGTAGTGGGTGCATAAAGGATTTGGAAACCACAACTTTAGGACAAAGACAAACACAGAAGAGACCACAGAATCAGCTAAAAGGGACAAACACGAAACCCCTATACCAAAGCCAGGCTACGATGTCTGGGATTTCTTCTGCAAAATTCGACATGATGAAGTTCGACAGAACTGGGAATTTTGGATTATAACAGAAGAGGGTGAAGGACCGGTTAGTGCAGCAGGGCGTGGTGAAGGCGTTATACGGAAAGCAACCGGCAGGAATGGACGACATGGATTGGAAAGAATTGGAAACGAAGGCTATGATGACTATTAGACTTTGTTTGGCTGATGACGTGATGTATCACATCATGGATGAGGAATCACTGGCAGAAGTTTGGTTGAAACTGGAAAGTTGGTATATGTCCAAGTCGTTGACGAACAAGCTCTATCTTAAGCAGAAACTATATGGTCTTAAGATGTCATAGGGCTCGGATCTAAGCCAACACATCAACGTGTTCAATCAGATCATCAACGAGTTGATGTGAAGTTCGAAGACGAAAATAAGGCGTTGATGTTGCTGAATTCCCTACCAACGTCTCTTACGTACGAGAATTTGGTTACGACTCTGATGTGGGGGAAAGAAACCCTCGAGTTGGAGGATGTCACAGGTGCTCTGTTAGGTTTTCATCAGCGAAAGAAAGTCAGTGATGAGGCTTCACAAGGTGAAGGGCTTGTGGTGAAAGGTAACCAGGAACGTGGAAGAAGCAAATCTCAAAATGGATCGGGTAACAATAAAACCCGGTCTAAGTCGAGGAAGAAGAAGGACATCTCGTGTTACAAGTGCAGGAAAAAGGGACACTTTAAACGGGACTGTCCAAAGAAAAAGAAAGAGAATTCAGAGGACAAAGAAGGTCCATCAAAGTCTACAAACACAGTGGAAGAAAAAGATTTAGAGAGCGGTGACGGTGATATGCTTTCTGTTTCATCCAGTTCAGATCGTCTAACAAATTTATGGATTATAGATTCAACATGTTCATATCACATGACACCCAACAAAGATTGGTTTGACACCTACAGATCAATAAATTCTAGTTCTGCTGTGATGGGTAACGATGCATCCTGCAAAGTTGTTGGAATAGGGAATATTAGAATTAAGATGTTTGATGGTGTGGCTAGAACGTTGTGTGATGTTAGACATGTATCGAATCTAAGGAAGAATATGATTTTATTGGGCACTTTAGATTGTAATGGTTATAGTTACAAATCTATAAGTGGAGTAATGAAAGTGAGTAAAGGCATGTTAACAGTGATGAAGGGACATAAAGTAGCAGAAAATATTTACAAACTGCTGGGTACCACAATTGTAGGTGGAGTTGTTGCTGTAGAGTCTGAATCAGATAGTACAGTCTTGTGGCATATGCAGCTAGGTCATATGAGTGAGCATGGGATGATATAGCTTCATAAGAAAAATCTATTGAAGGGTGTCAAGACATGCAAGCTCAATTTTTACAAATATTGTGTTCTTGAAAAACAGAACAGGGTGAAGTTCAAGACAGCCACACACAAAACAGAGGGGATTCTCGACTATGTCCATACAGATGTTTGGGGACTAGTCAGCGTAGTATCACGGGGAGGATACATGTATTTCGTGAGTTTTATTGATGACTACTCGCGAAAGGTCTGAGTGTAATTCATGCGGCACAAGTCCGAAGCATTTGCCAAGTTCAAGCTGTGGAAAGCTGAAGTAGAGAACCAAACAGGGAGGAAGATTAAATGCCTCAAGTCAAACAATGGTACTGAGTACACAGATTCAAAATTCTAGGAATTGTGTGAGCAGCATGGAATCAAGAGACACTTCACAGTCCGCAAGACACCATAACAAAATAGTGTAGCGGAAAGGATGAACAGAACGATAGCTGAGAAAGCTCGGTGTCTCAGGTTGAATGTAGGGCTTGCAAAGAATTTCTAGGCAGAGACAGTAAATATGACATATTTCTTGATTAACAGATCACCGAGGGCAGCACTAGATGAGAAAGTATCAGAGGAGGTGTGGATAGGCAGTGAGGTAGACTACTCTGGTTTGAGAGTGTTTGGATGTCCAGCCTATGTACATGTTTCTAGTGAGGAGAGGTCGAAGCTTGATGCAAAGTCTAGACAGTGTATCTTTCTAGGGTGTCAGAAAGGGGTGAAAGGCTTCAAGCTATGGGATCCGAAGGCAAACAAGATGGTGGTTAGTAAAGATGTAGTTTTTGATGAACAAGTCATGTTGCAGCGTACTTAGAAAGAAGAGAAACAAGTGCCAGAAAACTGTAACACTAATGAGCATGTGGTGTAGGTGGAGCTAGAGAACCATGGTAGAGAAGAGGATGCTCAGCATGTAGAGAGTTCTATCACAGGTGATCAGCAGCATCACAGTATAGCCACATACAGGCCCAAACGCAATATCAAGCCACCTACCAAGTATGATTTTGAAGATTTGGTTTCTTATGCCCTTATTAGTAGTAGCGGGGATCCTACAACTTTTCAGGAGGCAGTACAAAGCCAAGAGAAAAGTAGATGGATGGGTGCTATAGTAGAGGAGATGAAGTTTCTGCATAAGAACCAGACATGGGAGTTGGTGGAGCTTCCCGAGGGGAAGAGAGCTATAGGGTGCAAATGGGTGTATAAGAAGAAAGAAGCAATATCAAAAAAGGAGGGGAAAAAATTCAAGGCTCGTCTAGTAACAAAAGGTTACTCACAGAGAAAAGAGGTTGACTATGATAAGATCTTCTCCCCTGTGGTCACACACACTTCTATCAGGACAGTGTTGACATTAGTAGCACATTCAGATATGCAATTGGAGCAGATGGGTGTAAAGACAACTTTCCTTCATGGCGACTTGGAGGAACAAATTTACATGGTGCAGCCAGAAGGGTACAGTCTCTCTAGAGAGAAACATTTGGTCTATAATTTGAAGAAATCACTTTATGGGCTGAAGCGGTCTCCGAGGCAGTGGTACAAGCGATTTGACTTTTACATGATCCGGATTGGCTACAAAAGGTGTCAGTATGATTGTTGTGTCTATGTGAAAAGCCTTGATGATGATTTATTTATTTTTCTGTTACTTTATGTGGATGATATGTTGATTGCTGCCAAGAGTATGAGTGAGGTCAACAAGTTGAAGACTTTGTTGAGTAGAGAATTTGACATGAAGGATTTGGGTGCGGCCAAGAAAATTCTTAGGATGGAGATTCGCAGGGACAGAGCTTCCAGGAGATTATGGCTATCTCAGCATAGCCATGTTCAGAAGGTGTTGGACAGGTTCAGCATGAATTATGCAATTTCAGTAAGTACACCTTTGGCGAATCATTTCAGATTATCTACCGCTCAGTGCCCGAAGACAGATTATGAAGTTCATGACATGTCAAAGGTCTCATATGCTAGTGCAATGGGGTGTTTGATATATGCTATGGTTTGTACAAGACTAGATTTGGCACAAGTTGTCAGCGTGGTTAACAAGTTTCTTTCAAATCCGGGTCGACAGCATTGGGATGCAGTCAAGTAGATTTTCAGATACTTGAGGGTACTATAGACTATGACATCATGTTTAGCAGACAACAGAGTGACCTTTCAGTTGTGGGATATGTGGTTGTAGACTATGCAGGGGACTTGGATGACAGGAAGTCTACCACAGGTTATGTGTTTACTCTTGTGGGAGGACCTATTTGTTAGAAGTCTATGGTACAGTTTATAGTTGCACTATCTACTACTGAGTCAGAGTATATGGCAGTAGCTGAGGCTGCCAAGGAGGCTTTGTGGCTTACAGGTTTAGTCTAGGAGCTGGGTGCCCAGCAAGATGGAGTTCAGTTGCATTGTGACATTCAGAGTGCCATTTTTTTGGCAAAGAACCAGGTATATCATGCGAGGACCAAACACATAGATGTGAGGTTTCATAAGATCAGGGAGCTGGTTTCTTCTGGTGAACTATTACTTGAGAAAGTTCACACTTCTGAAAATGCAGTAGACATGTTGACAAAGCCTGTTATTACAGACAAATTCAACAACTGCTTGAACTTGATTAATGTCTCTAGTTGCTAGATGGGAGATGCCCCAACTTAGTGTCCCAGGTGGAGTTCCCGGATACATGTTCTCTTTTTTTCTTCTAAGGAGTGAATATTTGCCAATGTGGAGATTGTTAGAGTATGTGTAACTCATATTTGCTATGTGCACAATAGTAAGGAGACAGATGTCAGAGCGAGCGGAGTAGAGCGAAATGGAGCCCGCGACGGCATCTGCTTTGCAAGATTGATATATTTTATGTATAGGGGGGACACTGATTAGTTGGGAGTGCGGGGGCAACGCCCTGTAGTACGGTATAGGAGTATTTTGTAAATACGTTCGTACTAGGGTTATATAAATACTTAAGATGTAACCCTACTTTGAAATAATAGAAAAGAACAGCCGCTCGCTCCTGTGGATGTAGGCACATTGCCGAACCACGTAAATTTCTGTGTTATTTTCTCTTACTTTCTTAGTTGATTGATTCCGTATTATTTATCATAATTGCTGTACGATCAAAACACAACCTTATTTCTCAAACAATACAATCTCTAAGAAGCAAGAGTCTCTCTTACAGTTGACATAACCTTAGTCATATGGCTCAGGTGAACCACTCATATTTTATCTTTCTATTGCATGATACATATAACATACACATTCATATTCTCCCATATACACACACACACTCGTTGGACTTTGTTCTCCAACCCGGTCCGATTAATTTCGAGCTCCACACAAACCATCCTATAGGTAATGTAAGGGGTAGAAATCGCTACGGGATTTCAGCCCTCCACTTGAAGGATTTTGGCTGACCTGGCGACACCGAGCCTCAGTAGCCTTTTACCTCTCTTCGTCAATAGGACTCTTTCCTAAGGCAATCCCACATCGGAAGAGAGTCGTCTTCCCTCCCTCGCATATAAGCCCTTGCACTCAAAGGATTGCCTTAGGAAAGAGTCTTATTGGCGAAAAGAGGTAAAAGACTACTGGGGCTCGATGTCGCCAGATCAGCCGGAATCCTTCAAGTGGAGGTATGAGATCCGTAGCGATTTCTACCTCTTACAAGTAACATTGTTCCTGACTTCACGACTCTTATTTTGCTATTTTCAAAGCTCTTATTTTACTTTCACATTCCCAATTTCATCTGACAATTGTTAAATAACCAGGCCGACTCTAATAATTAAGAACTGTCATAAATAACCTTGCATCAGATATTTGAAGCACTGTTACAATATAGATTCTACTTTGGAATCAATGCGAGAACAACTTTCTTTTTTTCATAGTAGCACAAAAGGTAAATCAACCAGGTATCCATGCTACAGGCTGCTTCTTCGCAAACAGAAGTGCCTTTAAGATAGCCTCGCTCACAACATCAGCAACTGGAAACAGATGTCCGGCACCTGGTAATTCATGGTAGTATACCCATGGAAGCTTTTTAGCAATGTAGCGCTGCAGCGTAACAGACACAATGCCATCTTCATCCCCGTGCCACAAATGGACAAAGCCTTCAACATCCACCCAAGGATTCTTAAGATCAAATTCTCCTTCTTGTATCACGTATGCCTGGTTATCAAAGCAAGTGAAAAATTAGGAATCATGTGTGATTCTCAGTTGTTGGACCCTTTTTGACCGACTTGTTTTGAACAACTTTCACACAAATTTCCTTAACCATGATATCTCTAAACTCCAAACTTAGAGCCATGTATTGCATGTCACATAATCGCTATTAATGGGATCTAGAACCCACAGGTTGCATGAATTTTGAACATTTTTAATGCTGAATTACTTATGAATTGGTTTTCTTATGCAGTAAGTTCTCGATCATGATCAGACGTATACACACAAACACACACCCACACGCATGAGACTTATTACCCCATCATAAGCATTCTTCATAGCACGACATATGAAAGAAATATTACCCCATCATGTTGTCTCCCCTTAAGCTTGGGCATAAGTTCCAAATCTTGGCCAGAATACTTGACCTTTTGAGTAATCAAGCTCAAGGTAGGAAACCATTTTTGAGTGTTCCACCAGTAGGTAAGCCAAGGGGTATACTGAGCAACGCGTAAAGCCCAAGGGTCTTGTGTAAATTGCTGATTGTATGCTTCTGCAGATAAATTTGCAGGAAACCCAGGCCACCAGTAGTTGATAACTGGAGAAATTAATGTTGCTCCTGCCAGCCTGTTAGCATCCAAATATTAAACTCTATAACTGAAACTCTAAAGAACTAAATAGAAATATTAGTCATCTGGAGCAGTAATCAAAGTTCAGGGACTATTTAGGTAATTAAGTTCCCTGAACAACAATTACCCCGAATAAAATGTCAACAATATTAGACACAATCAATCAATATTCACACAGGAAAAGATGGTGTTTGTAAAGAAAAATATCCACACAAATCAATATTCTGATACCTGTGAGGGATGTACTCAAGGCATCCCCAAACCAGCTGTCCTCCCATGGACAATCCAATCACATAAAATTTGGATTTGAGTTCTAACTGATCAGCAAGCTCTTCTATATCCAGAGCTGTACTTTTTAAGTTTCGTTTTGGATCTGGGTCGCTTTCTCCATAACCTGGTCTATCAAAAGACACCAAGTATGCCCCTAGTTCTTCAGTTATCCCCTGAAAACAACACAACAGAAAGTCATTTGAAGAAAACTGTGGAAAAATACACCCGGATAAGCAGAAAATTGTCAATTTAATGACCAATCATAAAACTACCGATGTTATAATTGCTAAGTCATGTCTGCTACTGGCAAAGCCATGAACAACGATGATCTTGTATTTGGCCATTTCTTTGGGGATACCATGCTCCGTATAGGCCAAATGTCGTCCATCCCTAAGCTTTATTCGTGGTGCTGTGATGGGTGGACCGGTTGGGGAGCCACATATCCTGGGAGGTGGGGATTGGGTAGCTTGATATGCCCATGCTAGAAACGGGATTAAAAGGACCAATATGATTTTCTTAAGCATCCCTGAAAAAACATGCAAAACTTTAAGAAGGAAAAGAACAGACAGCTTAACAAACCAAAGCTTAGAGATACTGGTATAACACCTCATATTTTGTCTTTACTTGTTCCTTGTAAAGGGCATTATGTAGATCAGAGTGAAGATTCATAATGTGAGAAACATTACCAGGTAAAGTTTTGAGAGAGAAAAAAAGAAAAGAAAAGGAACAACAACAATTCACTTGTTATTGGCCTTCAATAACACTTATCCCCTTCCAAAGCGGGGGAAAAAGGATTTAATTGGTAAAATCACAGTAATAGAAAAAGTCTAAACCTAGACCACAACTATTTGATTGAATGAGAACATGTGATGTAGGCTTTTATCAACAGAAATTGCATTTCCACATAAATAAGGATAATAAAGTAGAAAACTGCATTACACCTCAATCACCCCATTCTGATCATTCTATTTGTATCATAGCTTTAGCTTTTTTTTTTAAAAAAAAAAAATTAGTAATAACAAACAAAACCAAGTCATTGCCACAGAGACTCAAATGATATTGTACTGAGGAATAAATCGCAATTTCCTCCACACCAAAAAAAAAAATTGCAATGAAGAGTGACACCAATTGATTGATTTCATTCAAGGGCAGTAAATAAAAACCTTAGGTAATATATTTTCCAAGTTCTTTTTTTTTTGGGAGAGGGAAGGGGAAGGGGGGAGGGGATTTTTCAAAGTTCTTTTAGTTTTTCTTTTCTTTTTTGTTTCAAGTAACTAGTGTTTGTTTTTGTATATTTGGTTTTTTGCTTTTTCCTTATTTGGGTTTTCTCTATTCTTTCAAACTTAATTATTTATGTAAGAGTATGCATATACACATATATAAAATATAAGATTATAATCTATATCCTAAGTTTCAAACAAATCATTCTTTGTGATCAAATAAATATGTTTATGTTATTAAAAAAAAAAGAAGATCAAATATGTTTATACTTCTGTGATGAAAAAAAATCGTTGTATGATTTCTGCCCGACACTCTAGTAAAAAAATAAAAAGAAGACAGAATATGAGGAAAAAGAAAAAGAGAAGTGAATATGTGGGATCAAGAAGGTACAAGAAATGATATGCAATCATGTAGAATAACAAAGAGGACAAACCAACCAAGTTATTAAGGAACACAATGAAACCCAGTAGCGTACAAACGGCAATAGAGAAAACCTGGAAGGAGTTGGAAGGACTTGCCCTGATTGACCCTTGTGGATTGATGCTAAGCTGAAGCTAGCGGCTGATATCTTCTTGAATAATCAATGCATTTCTCACAATATTCAGCTAAGAAAATTAAAACCCCAATTCCCAAAAGCAAAATTGCTTTAGAGTTTGCAAATTTATAGCTTAATAAAACCCAAAAACGTGCAAAAGTCGAGTATCACTGTATGGAGAGAGAGAGAGAGAGAGACCACGGTCACCCAGATGATTGGAACTCTGGATGATCAAGAAAATATGTAGAACTCGAAGGTCATCAGGATTAAATGAAGCTAAAATCTTACTATCTTACAGTATCAAACTTAAGTTGAGAGGCTGTCTTCAATCTCCCTGTCTCTCTTTTCTAATAATGATTTTCATAAGCATTTTTATATCTAAATTAACTAAAAGCTATAAGTTTGTATTTTGAGGTTTTGTTGAGGGTTCTTATATGGTGCAGTGATAGAAGTGTCGAAGTAATAAACATGAATTTGCTGCTTTTATTTCATCCCTTATACTAACACCAATTAATGGAATCAAACTGAATAATAATACTTCATCTGTAGAAGATGAAGAAGCTCAGCATTTCTAAATTTTTCATTGTACATTTGAAGAAAAAAGAGTCTCGTCAAAGTTCATGTAGGTGATTAGATAGAACACAAGTGTACCATATTTAGAAGTGAAAACTACTTGACACCATCCACAAACTTCACCTAAATTATATTGAATGGAGCATTATAAAGGAATGAACCACTCCTGGATCTTCATCATCTAAGGCAGAAGAACATATGACAAAAATAAAATAAAATTATCCTTACATTTGATTCCAAAAGAGTAGTCTAAGAAATAAATAAACTACTATTTGATAAATTTTTTTAATAATTTTCTAAATAAGAAATAATTATGACATAAAAATATGAACATATGGGTTAAACTTTACATTTGATTAAGCTTGAAATAAGGGGCAAGTCTAGATAAGAAAGTAACAAATTTATAAAAGGTAAATACCAGCTCAAAAAATTATTTTAAAGCATAAAAAACAATGGAATATTAAACTAGCCTTATTAAATACTATCTAATTTCAAAACTTAATTGGTCTCTATCTTCATGGTGGACTATTTAGCAATGAGCTAGAGTAGAAAACAAGGACATAACTAGGACCATGGCCGTCTGTAATATTAATTTATAAATGTAATGTGAGGATGACTGATAAATTATTGGATTAATAGAAATGCAGGCCACAGGCAACATGTATTCACAAACCTTAAGACTTCATTCCATTGTTACAAAAAATGTGTGTTGTTTATGGTTTGTTAAAAAACATGTTAAAGATCAAGATTTTTTTTCTTTTTTGATCAAATAGAAGAATATGTTCAATGGATCAGAACAATTATGTGACGTAGCGATGAAGCGGTCATAGAAAGAAAGTGTTCAAGCAACAAACGCGCTTGTCTTTTTTTTTTTATTAACCTGGTTCATCACGTTCACCCATAATTACTGCCCAAATCTTAATTTTTCGGTTTCAAAAAGGCTCAAACCCAAAATTTAGTATAGAAAAATGGCCGCGCAAGAATTCATTTACATGAATGAAGAAAACTATCTTGATTGAAATTAATAGCTAATCAGGGTTAAGATGATGAATATTTTAAACTTCATATTACACAAAAAATAATAGAGTGTAGGCCTTAACACAACAGTAAAAATTGTTTCATTGTGACTTGAAGATTTCGCTGAAACAACCCTTTTTTACTACATAGAAGAGAGTACAGAAAGCATTCCGACATGATCTCATCCTACAAAGATCCTTGATTCCAGCTAAGCTAACTCGAGAATTGCAGGACTGAGTTTAAAATGTTCAAACACTAATGAAAACAAAAAGTTCAATCATGCTCAAGCCACATCTAACATGGACCTAGCACGAAACACCGTAAAAATTTGTATGGGAAATGCCAGAAGCACTGTATGGATCCACCCTGTTTCTTTTGCTTTTTGCTAAAAGCCCGTCAGCACCAAGACGTTGCTGATCATATAAATATAAAGAAATGGACGCCAATGCTTTTTGTCATCCATGTACGACTTCAACACGATAGCATAGCCACCATATTACAACTCCGGAGGAAATCTAAGGCTCTTCCCGGCTATCATGGCTATCAAAACCTCCTGCTCTGGTAGCTCCTAGGAATCCAAAGCCTTCTTCAACTTGTCTCTGCAGTTTTTTCTTGGTTTGTTAGTATAGTTAGTCTCTTGTTTGCTATTGTCCACTTTGCACAACAATAACCATATTAACCGCATCCTTGGACGAATGCCAAAAGCAGGTGTTCATCTTATTCGGTAGAAAATAAATCAGATGTTTCTGCTCAAAGGTAAGAAAATCTCTAACCGCACTTAAATTCTTTCCTTTAATTCCCCGTGTATTCCAATGGGAAAAAGTTTAGAATAGTGAGAATATAAATAGCTTGAAAATCAGAATACAGGAAACATAAGTTAGACAAGCACCATTGTCCCAGGTTCCCAACCATAACATGACAGAACTAATCGGATCGCAACACCATCAGGTGAACATGTGATCATATTACCAATGAATGCTGACAAAATGAAAGAGATTTCCAGTTCACTACATGGAAAGAATACATCAAAATGATGAGGACTTACCCCATTCAAGAACTCAAAAACAGGGCTTTTATAATTTAGCAACACCCCATATCTCCATAACTCAATGGTATTGTTTATATCATTGTGCAATGCATTAAAAGTTTCCAGAAAAGATACCAATTATTCTACCACCCAATAGCAGCTTATGTTAAGTTCAGAGTGCCTGTATGCATTTCAATTCTCTGCCGGAACACAGTATCTGATATCAATACTATAAATGTGATACACACAGTGTACACTACAACTGCAGATACTCTGTTTAAAGCAAACAAGATCATAACAAAAAGATACCCAATGCACCACCTGAGGATTTCCCAACACAGCTGTGGGTTGTTCATGAGTGTTATTAGGTAGACTTAGGTTGAGCAAAAAGGGGAGAACTGTTTCAATTGCCAGGAGACAACGGGTAAAAAGCTAATGGTCATCTGGGAGCTTGTGCAGGATGTATGTATTCAAGTCCTGTCCTTTTCTATCATGGAGGCATGGGGATTTATAGAGAAACTTGGATAAGAAAAGGCTCCTAAAATGGGTCAAGAATGCAACCACGTTGATTGAAAGGCATCCTTGAGGTCTCTGATGCAGAGAATGTGGATCTGGCTGGCTAAAGCAGTGTCACCTGAGGCGACCTAGGTTCAAACGTTACGGTAAGCCCTGCTATTGTACAGTAAGATTGTATGTGGACCCTTTGTACGGTAGGTTTGAATGCCATGATGCATCCCTCACCCACCAAATCACATGCCTCCTGGATTCCCAGAGGGTAGAAGCTAAGGACAACTGCAATATGATGTGTGGGAACATACTAGGCCTTGCTCTGCTCATTGATCCCAGGAAACTTAGACACCAATGTGATGCACATGAAGTCACACCATTTGCCCAAAAGGACAGTGGATGACCCCAATCGAGCATTGTACAACACCTATCCCATATAGTGGATGAACGCATTGAGCGTTTCACCAAACCCATCCAACTGTATAAAGTACATGTGAGGTAGCCCTAAAAAATAGAGGGTAGCATTCAGCCACTCGCGATGATCCTACCACATCAATCTGCATGGAGTGTGGTCCCTATTGGGGAGCTGTATTTAGGACAGAGAAAGGGTGATAGCCACTCGGTCATTCCATCTCACCTCTCAATATGGCAGTAATGTAGTGCAGCTCTGGCCACCTCATATCAAAGTCAAGCCATATGTCAGAAATCTTTGAAGTAACATGTGTGTGCATGCTTACATATAACTTCGGCGGAAATGTAATTTGTAAATCGGCTAGCCTTTGTGCATGCAAGTGAAAACCAGCACAATAACACAAGCTCCCAAGCCACCCAGTCTTATGATTCATCATATAAAAATCACATGATTCATCAACTAAATATATGCAAAAGAAAAGTGGAGTCAACTATATACAGCCATCATCTAATTTCTATACCAATTGCAGCAAATCAGCAGAAAAATGCTTCCACAAACAGAATATAATACAATATGTATACACTTGGACAAAAATAATTAGACAAAAGCAAAATCTCTCAAGTGCAAAACATTTACTACCACATACTAAACAGTACTTTGGCTCAATAACTAAATCAAGCAGTTATACAGACAATTCAGTAGACTATTCCAAAAATAACTGTAAAAAAAGAAGTCCCATCTGTATAAAAAGCCTATGGTGGGAACAAAGCTAAAACTCCCAGATGATAACATAACAATGAAGACATGTCAATTTAAACATTACTGTGAAGAACAATACCAATTCAGCTCAAAACATCACTAGCAGCGAAAAGAGCATGTAAATCAAGAAACATGCATAAGCGATCAAACCGCGGTGCTCATCCCCACAAGAAGCAAGCTCAACCAACAGCCTGGTACAAACTCTGGTGGACCAAATCACAAAAAGCCCAGCCATGACCATAATCACCAGCCCACCCTGAGGCACGAACAGCGAAACGGCCGACAAAATCACCAGTGGCAACATACAGTAACCGATCAAGCTCAAGCATCGGTACAAATCCAAATTCCCATTTCGACCCGCCAACATGTTGAACACCACGTACAGAAACAGAGAAGCCACCGTGACCCAACCCAATATTATACCGAAATGGAGCTTTCCGGCGAGTAATTGGAACAACCCAAACGCCATTAGGAACAAAAACGGGCCTGATAAGTCCGCATCCTCGTGTAAATCGTGATTAATCCTGAACGGGTTCAAAATCGACATCGTTTTGTTCCAAATTTGCTTTGTGTTTATGCCCAGTTCTTCAAGAAGAGGAGGTTCGTCCTCGAAACCGGTGCTGATGCCGCCACCGATTGAGTTGTTGCCGTACTGGGGGATTGGAAACGACGTAGTTGTAGTTGCAGCGCCAACGTCAAATGACATGAAGGGAATGCTTGGGTTTGAGGACCTCGGAGGCTGAAACGGCGCCGTTGGTCGGCGTTGTTGGGCTCCGGGCCCACCAGGGTTTCCGCCGGAAGGGAATACCACCGGCGGGACTTTGAATTCTTTGGCCATGGTACAAGATCTGTGAAGATCGATTGGATTGACTGGGTTTGAAATTCACAGTTTCGAAGAGAAGAAGATCAGGGGTTTTTTGGAGATTGGATTCGCAATTTTGAGCGAATAAATCGATCTTTTAACTCATAAATCGGTTAAATTAGAATTTGTACTTCGGTGAGGACAAGAGACAGGTGTCATCGGAATGTGGCGATCTGGTTCATACTCCAACGTTGCCTTTGGTTTTTCTATGCAAGTATTCTCTTCGACTTCGAGGCTAAGTTAGCGTAGTTGTTATTTATTTTCTTTTTTGTAATTTTAAACAAATTACAATGAGAACCCCACTATTTTCTCTTAATTATGTTGAGACCCCTCCAGTACTTTTTTTTTTGGTCAAAACAAGCAAAGCAACAATTTCATAAAGTAAGAAAATTGAGGTTACAATCAGTCACGAGAGAAGCCTTAAAATCGGAAGGGGAGACCCTAACCAATCCACTGGAAGTGAATTTTTTTAGCATATTGGCTGTCACCCAGTGAGCAGCCTTGTTAAGGGCCCTAGACTTGTGTAAAAAGTTAAGGTTAAATGACTTAACAAAGTATCTAATGTCCTCCATAATTACACTAATTTTTCATGGGAGAACATTCTCATTTGAGCTTAACTTAATAATATTAAGACAATCATTAACAATCGTAGTCTGAGAGATCAGTTGAGCTTCGACAAGTAGGCACACCTGCCTTACTGCCTCTGCCTCAGCCAACAAGGATGAACAAACAGAGAATATCTTGGCACTGTCGAATTCCAAAACTCCATTGCTCTTACAAAGAACAACTTCGACATGATACCTTAGCCAACTCAAGTTTAAAAGTGCCATCACAGAAGACTCGGTAGTCATTCTCCTCCTCCAAAGGAATTGCTTCACTTGTTTCCTACTCCTGTAAACCTTCTAACGATCTCGTTCTCTTAATCCTGAACTGGTCACCCCACATGGACTTGACTCGTAACACTATGGCGCAGGCATTCACCTCTTTCTTATTGAAAACAAACTGGTTTCTGCCCTTCCAAATAATCCATCCCACAGTGGCTAGTTTCCCCAATAATTCCAGTCTTCGTTGCACATCATTAGCCAAGAGAAGCAAAGTCGTGGATCGTTGGGGCCACTGACAAGAAAAATGAATCATTCTCCAGCAAAACAGGGTCTATTCCGAACCAAACACGCCTAGTCCAGCTACAATCAGACAAGATATGCTCAATGGACTCTGTTGCTAAATTACAGAGCTGGCAAATAGGAGAAGCAGCACATTTCTTTTTGAACAAGTTCTCATGGGTGGCCAAGATGTTATGGCAAGCTTTCCACCAGAAATGTTTAACTTTAGGAGCTGCCTTCATGTTCCAAATAAACTGCCATAGTTTAGGGTGTAGAAATACATAAGAACTTTCCTCCGATTAAACAGAGGCCTCCTTACAACCCAATTTATACCCGGATCTAACAGTATAGATGCCTTTACTTGTGGGCCACCATATTCTTTTGTCTTTCCTCCCACTCAGTGGCTAGGGGATAGACTTGATAGCTTTCAACTCATTCTTTGATAATAAATTTTCCATACTAGAAGTATTCCAGATTTTGGGGACAGCAGTAATAGCATCAGCAACCTTAGAAATAGAGCAAACCTGGGACCTTGGGGAGTGAATTGCCATATTGGGAAGCTGGGGGATCCACTTATCATTCCAAAAATATACCTCAGAACCATCACCAATTTTCGACATTAACCCTTTTTCAAGAAGCTCCTTGCCATAGAGCAAACTAGTCCAAACCCAAGATGGTCTCGCACCTCGCTTTGCTTTCATTAGGTCATCTTTTGGGAAGTAAATCGCCTTCATGAATTTCACCCAAAATGATTCCAGTTGATTCAAGAGTCTCCAACACTGTTTTGCCAATAGAGCTTGGTTAAACAACTTGAAGTCTTTAAAGCCCATCCCCCCAATAGGTTTTGGTTCAGTCATCTTCTTCCACTTCCTCCAGAAGATGCCTCTGCTCTCTACACTTCCTTTCCACCAAAAGCTTTTGACATATGAGTTGAGCTTAGCGTATAAATTTTTTGGGAACTCCACAACTGACATGACATAATTAGGGATAACCTGGACAACTGCCTTGATCAGAATTTCCTTCCCTGCCTATGAGAGATAATAGCTCCTCCATCCCTGCATTTGCTTCATGACCCTCTCAAGAAAGTATCCAAACACCTCATTCCTTGATCTTCCCCACGCCATCGGGATTCCCAGGTATTTTGCACAATGAGGGAGACCCTACATGCCCAAGAGATGACTTAAAGAAGCTTTTTGCTCCTCAGATGTGTTGCTGGAGAAGATGATACCAGATTTCTGGTAGTTGGCGCACTAGCCCTACACCGTACAGTATAATTGCAAAATCCTCAATAATTCCCTTAATCCCCCATCCTTGGCCTTGAGGAAGAACATGTAGTCATCAGCAAAGAAAAGGTGTGAGATCACTGGACTCCTCCTTCTAATCTTGTTTCCCACTAGTTTCCTTTTGTCAACCCTAGCCTAGAGCATAACTGAGAGAACATCTGCAACCAAGAGGAATAAATATGGGGAGAGGGGATCCCACTGCCTGATGCCCCTCTAGGGCATTACCACTCCAATTCTATTTCCATTAAGCATAAATTGTAGGGTGATTGTACTGATGCACTGCATAATGAGATTCACCCAGTGACGATCAAAACCCAACTTTAACATTGTTGCTTCCAAGAAGTCCCACTCGACCCTGTCATAAGCCTTGCTTATATCCATTTTGATAGCAATTTCAGGCACTTTTCTTTTCTTCTTTCCTTTCAGATGGTGGAAAACTTTGTTGGCAATTGCAATACTGTCTTGAATTTGTCTATTTGGGACAAAGGCCACTTGGTTTGGGGAAATGATGGAGCACATCATACCTTTCAATCTATTGGCCATAATTTTTGAGATCACCTTGTACAGAAAATTGCATAATGTAATCAGTCTGACCTGTTTAATGGATTCAGGAGCTGCTTTTTTTGGGATAAGGACAACATTTTGTGAAATTGATTTCCCTGCTTAGCTAGCCTCCTTCAAAAAAATCTTTAATCATCTTAATGATATCGCTCCCCAGAACATGCCAGAATTTCTAGAAGAAAATGCCTGGAAACCCATCTGGGTCAGAAGCTTTCAAAGCATCTAATTCCTTTACAGCTTCTTCCACTTCCAGGTCATTAATAGGCTTTAGTAGAGCACAGTTCATTTCCTCTGTAACTTTAACTTGTACTGCCAGTAGTTCCTTAGACCAGTCCCTTTCCCCATTGAGCTAAACAGACTCTGGAAATATCCAGTGATATGGGAGTTGATCTCCTCCTTCCCTTCAATCCAGTCAGCTTCATCAGTCTTAAGCCTAACAATTTGATTACAATTCCTTCTTTGAATGGTAAAAAAATGGAAAAATCTGGTGTTTTGGTCCCCGTCTTTCAACCAATTGATCCTTGAACGCTATTGTCAGTACTTCTCTTCTCTGCATCTTACTGCATCAATCTGAGCACAAAGCTCTGCTTCCTCAATCAGGTTTTCCTCTAATAGCTCCAACATCTAGACCTAGAGTAGTTCCTCATTTAGCATTCGAATCAAGCTCTTATTATTACCAAACTTCTGTCTGCTCCACTCCAAAAGATGGTTTCTGCACGACTTTAGGTTGTTAATGGAATTACGAAACGCAGAGTTTGGATCTTTCACATTCAGGGTCTTCCAGCCACATGCTTTCAAACTTAAAGGAATGGGGGGCCCTTTTAGCATTTAAACCAAGGTTAATCACAATGGGATAGTGGTCAGACCCCATTCTAGTTTCATGCAACATCGCTGTTGAGGGGAAGAGGGCACTCCAGTCTAGATTTACAAGGACTCTATCGATGCGTTCTTGGACATTGGCTGCACCTGGCCTATTATTCGACCACGTAAATTTGGGCCCACGAAAGCTCATCTCAATAAGGCAACAATCTAAGATTAACTGTTGCATTTTCTCCACCCTCCTTGTACTACTGATAGCACCCCCCTCTTTTTCATCCAATGAGCCAATGTTGTTGAAATCCCCTACAACCAACCAGGGCAAGTCGATGGACCTTGCCATATTAATTAACCACTCCCATATCTTCTTCCTTTTTTCGGCCATCGGATCAACATAGACAAAGGTACAATGCCACAATTTCTGCTAATGGTTTAATCTGCCTCTTACGTTGATTAGATTCTTGGATTTATCCAAGACCAGCAGGTTGGTTTCCTCCTTCCACCACAAAGCAAGGCAACAAGAGAGGCCCATAGGATCCACGTACTAAAAGGAAAATTTAAAGTTCTTCTTAACTGCTCCAACTTATCAGACTTGTTTTTAGTCTCCATAAGAAAGACGATTTAGGGGCGATGGGTAGTGATTAGCCCTCTAAGATTGCGGGCTGTCTGGGGTCACCCGACTCCCTGACAGTTCCAACTGAGCATCATCATGAATCGTGTGGCTATTTGAGGTCAGCCACCACTACCTTATCAGAGCAACTAGTTGCATCACCCTCGTCAACATCACCCTCGTCAACTGTCTTCCTAGAACGTTGAACAATCCACAGAGATATACATCTATCAAGGTTATTCTCACCTTTTCCTTCAGTAAGGCCATTATTCCCCTCATCCAGATCATGTTGCATTTGTTCCTCCTCATTCTCAAGATAGGCAAAGTGTGATTCAGAGTTCATTAGACTTCCTCCACGCACTTTCTTTTTGGGTTTACATCTCCTAATCCATTTCCTTAAAGCATGTTTTCTTCTAAAATTAACAAGGGATATGTTAATAGCAAGTGGGGGCCCAGAAAAAGGTAGGGAAGGGTGAGGAGCACTTGGGCCACTATCCAAAAATGCTTTCGGTTTTTTTCATGGTATTGGGTGGGCTTCCATAGTATCTTCTTCCAACTGGGCTTTCCTTTTAAGCGACATACTCTGGAAATGGGATATTAACACCCTTTCCTCCTCCTCGCTATCTGTAATTATA